ATTATTATATATTTAGTAAAGTATAGTAACGTATAGTAACGTTAAAATAACGTTATGTCACAAATGATAAAAGATACGCTGAATAAAACACAGCCTCTTTAGCACCAGGCTCCATATAATTTCCTTAACATCTGAAAAAATGCAGTTTAAAATAAAATTCTCGTAAATTTGAATTTTCTTTTAAGTGTATATTTTTAATTTTTTTTAAAAATAAAAACATTTCTTTTAAAATTTTTTATCTAGGTTAAGCACAGACATTTTTAAAATCAAAACTGCTAGGTAATAACATTTCTTCGTAAATTCAACAACGAAAGATCAATTTGTAAGGTTCTTAATATTATAAATATGTTTATCTAATTTTTTTGAAAACTGTTTGAAAATGCGTTATTATAAATATATTTGTGTTCATTTAATTTAAAGTTTCATTTACCTTTACCATTTTTAATTAGTTATTTTTGTGTTAATTTTAATTCACTGAATCATTTACAATTAATATTTTTTTAAATATTATTTCAATATTAAAAAAATTTATTTCCGCTAAAAATTTAACGAAAATGTAATTTAAATATTTAGGCAATTTTTAAGCTAAAATTTTAATAAAGATTTAATTCAAATATTCAGGCAATTTTTAAGCTAAAATTTTAATAAAGATTTAATTTAAATTTTCAAGCAAACTTTATATTAAACTTTTACCGAATATTTAATTTAAATGTTCAGGCAACTTTCGCGCTAAAACTTGACCGAATATTTAATTTAAATGTTCAGGCAACTTTCGCGCTACAACTTGACCGAATATTTAATTTAAATGTTCAGGCAACTTTCGCGCTAAAACTTGACCGAAAATTTAATTCAAAGATTCAGGAAACTTTTACGCTAAACATTTACTCAAATGCGGACATTTAAATCTTTACACAACCTGTACTAAGCTTTACGGTAAACTTTTCCAAGTTGGCATGCACAACTTTAATAAAGGTTTAGGAAAGTTAAAGTGCTGTGTGGGAGGGTTTGTGGAAAACAATTTACTGTGCATTCGTAGGTGTCAGAAAACTACTGCGCACGAGTAATTTGTTAGTTAATTTATGAATTATATTTATGCTTAGATAGCAACCTTACAGTAACCTTACACCAAGCTTAGAATATCCTTACAGTAAGCTCACAATATTTACTTATCATAACCTTACCGCGTAAGCTTAATACAACCTTTACATGCAAGCTTACTACAACCTTTAAATGTAACCTTACTATAACCTTTACATGTACCTTACTATCAGGGTGGCAATTTAAAGTCCACCGTAAGTTTACTATAGGCTTACGATGTAACCTTACAATCCATACACACAATAATACGATAACCTTACAGCAGTATATTGTGCTGTGTGGGATCAGTTTTATTTTTATTGATTATCAAGTTTTCTTCGGCTAGGGGACTGTTTATAAACTGCGTAGCCTATTAGGGAGGGGGAGTGTCAGCGAAATTCTTTATTAGTCTACGTGGGAAGAGGGGGACTCTAACAACGTAGTTAAAAAAACTAAAAGTAATTCGTTTCCCTCTTTTAAAATCGAGCGGGTAGTTTGAAGTTCTAAAAAAAATTGAAAGGAAATTAAAAAAAATTATCTTTAAATTAAAAATTTTGTTTGTTTGTTGATTTTAATATTTAAAAAAATTAAATATTTCATTCAGATTTTTTTTTCATTTTTTTTTTCAATTGACTTACTTGTAATGTGGGTATAGTTAAATATACAGTAAAAATTCATTTTGAAAAAAACTACGTTCTACACGAGGGAGGGGGCAAAAGTCTACGTTGGGCAGTCATCGATTGCGTCCTGTAAGGGGAAGTTGCATACCCCCACTCTACCCGCCGGGCCATAAACACGGAGCTCGAGGGACGCATGCACCGCGGGGGGCCTGACCGACGTTCTCGGGCCTAATGACATTTTCTATTTATGGCCCTTAATGAGTTTTTCCAAAAAAAATAAAAAAATTTTAAATATTAACAATTTTTAATTTTTTTTAACATATTCTTATTCCTCGTAATTTCACGATTACGAGCATATGTTGTTCGAATTAAAAATGTTAATATTAAAAATGTTTATAATTATTATTAAATAATATTACATTTAATTGTTTCTTAATTTAATTATACTGTTTAAAAAACAGTATAAATTAACAAACATTTTCCTTCACACTTACAGGCTTAGGACTGGCAGCATTTCACTTATTCGTGAAGGCTGGCGTGTTTAAAAAATGTGTGTTTATTTATACAAAACAGAAAATCAGAACTTTTAAAAAATTTGCTTGTAAGCCAGTATAATATAAAAGCTTTGAAAGCTTTATTAAAATATATTTGGTTTTATTTAATACATATTTGACTTGTAATGAATGTAAATTTTTATAATAATATAGAGGCCAGTCCTAAGCCTGCGAGTGTGAAGGGAAAATGTTTGTTAATTTATACTGTTTTTTAAACAGTATAATTAAATTAAGAAACAATTAAATGTAATATTATTTAATAATAATTATAAACATTTTAAATATTAACATTTTTAATTCGAACGACATATGCTCGTAATCGTGAAATTACGAGGAATCAGAATATGTTAAAAAAAATTAAAAATTGTTAATATTTAAAATTTTTTTATTTTTTTGGAAAAACTCATTAAGGGCCATAAATAGAAAATGTCATTAGGCCCGAGAACGTCGCTTAGGCCCCCCGCGGTGCATGCGTCCCTCGAGCTCCGTGTTTATGGCCCGGCGGGTAGAGTGGGGGTATGCAACTTCCCCTTACAGGACGCAATCGATGATCGCCCCCCACTCTATAGGCCGTTTTTGAAAATTCTTCCACAGCCTTTCCAGATTTAATAGAAGCATTGACATATCCCCGATACTAACAACCCTAGCGGAAAAGCGAGGAATTACAGGTCACGTGGTACATTGTTATATAAGTGTTTGTATATAACTGTCAGTTAGCGTTTTTTTTTTTAAATGTGTTTGAAACGAGTTAATTTTGTGTAATTATAAATAAAAAAGTGAAAAATGAGGCTGCTAAATTGATCAATGAATCAGCATTAACACAGGCAACTTTACTTGATACAAATTATTTTGTATGTTTTTGAATGTTAACAAATACTTGCTGAACTTGTCATTATATTTTGTTTGTTTACATGTAAATATAACCTAAAAAAAAAAATTAAGAAATTTCGTTTCAAACTTATACGGCTACAATGAAACAAAATTAATTATATATTTTTATTATTTTTATATAACTTACGCCAAAATATTGCAATTCCTTTATTATTTCATTATGAAACATAATTGAAAACAAACATTTTAAAAATCTAAATTATATATTCGTGTGTAAATAAGCAAAAACTTACCAATTTTCAAATATATTTTCAAAAAATTTATGTTTTATTTAAAATTTTTGTGTGTAACATTTTTCTTTCTTTTCAAGTTAAGTCAAATAGTTTTTTTTCTTTCTTTACACTTTTTCTAAAATTATTATATATCACTTTACACTGTTTACTATTGAGAACAGCTGTCACTAGGTGCAGCCATATTTTGAAAACTTCTAAGTACACCGCTTTTCCGCTAGAGGCGTCATAATCGGAGATATGTAATTTCGGATTTATTCTCATGCAAGGGGCCTATATGCTTAACAAGCAGTGAGTGCTCCTTATACTACTTCATGGTATCTACGTAGTTTATGAACGTTTCCTAGTGGCCTCCAAGTAAAATATTGCAAATGCTGTTAAATTATTAAAATTATTAGCTCATGTAAATAGTTTTATTCCTTTTAATTAAATTTTTGATGTACTTTTTTCAATAAATTGATATTATCCCTGTTGAAAATCCCTGTACAAGATCTTGCACAAGATTTTGATCAAGTAAATATATTTAATATTTGTATACAAGACTTTACAGCTGCGCAATAATTTTTTAGCATGCACGAGTAAAAGTACTAATGATTGTAAATTATTAAAATCTCAAATTTAAAAAAAATTTTTAAATGAACTTGTACAAGAACATGTACGGTTTCATGTGTAAGTACTTGTACATGAACCTGCACAAAAATATGTACAAGAACATGTATATTTTCTTGTATACAAATATTAAATATATTTACTTGTTCAAAATCTTGTGCAAGATATCCCAGTGTGCACGTTATGTAACTGTTATAGAACAGTTCTGGAACTGTGTTCTAGATCTGTTCTGCAACAGTTGTTCTGCCTCTGTTCTATAAGGAAGATGTAACATTTGTTCTAGAACATTTGTGCTTAATTAGTTCTAGAATTTTTAAGTAACGTTGTTGCTGCAGCGTTCTAGAACAGTGTTACAAAAATGTAACATAATAGATCTATCACTGTATTTTAGATTTGTTCTCTATCTGTTCTGAAACAAATATGTAACGAACAGATGTTTTATAAATGTGGTACTACTATATAGAGTGGCTCAAGACTTGTTCTTTTTTATTATAGAACAGTTACAGAACTGTTCTGTAACTTTGCACACTGGGATTGTACAAGTTCTCGTACGAGAACTTGTTCCAAATTATGGTGCCGAAATTGTACAAGATCCTGTACATGTTCTCGCCAGAACAGGTACAAGTTCAGCTGCTGAACATGTACATTTTCTTGTACAAGGATTTTCAATAGGTTTTTCAATTTTTTTTTATAATGTATCATATTTACCGAAAATTGTAACCTTTTATTTTCCTTTATGTTTTATTAATTTAAAAATATAAAAGTACAAAAAAGTACTAAATTTTTTTAAAAAAAGGAAAGATTTAGGATAATTTTTTTTATAAATATCGCGATTTTAAATCAGTGGTAAACTTGCACACATTGTGAAATGCAGGTTTTTTCTTAAATTAAACTAATAAAATGAAGTCAAAAGTATTTTAAGTCAACTTAGACCCACTTCTTTACTACTCATTACTTTTTTTTTGATTAGTTATTTTTTATTTTCTATAAAAAACGCTAAGGTAATTTTTTGAGCGCAGCTCAAGGAAGATGCATTACGGAAAGAATTGCATGCCACGAGATTAGCATTGATCAAGCAAGTCTGTCATCACACAACTGATAATGACCGGATTGACGATATAGTAAGTAAAATTAATGTTACGAAATTATTTCTTGTAAAGATACAACATTTTTCTTGTGGAAAATATAGTTTTTTAATTGACATAACTTTTGACATTTTGACTTTTACTATATTTATGAAATGTAAGAAAAATCATTGTAAAATTAGGTACAAAAAGTTGTTTTTAAATAGGGTTCTTTGCCGGATTCTGTGGAAAGTGCTGGAGATCATGGAGAATCGTTACCTTCAGACATGTCCTGGGAAGCAGTGGAGGAATTGGCACCGGCACCAACTCTTTGGGTACCTGATCACGCTGTTGATCATTGCATGGGTTGTGGGATCGAGTTTTGGCTTGGAAGACGTAGACATCACTGCAGGTAGTTGTCATGTGAAATTTAAGAAATTATATCTTTTTATATTAAATATATTCATTGATTCTTTTGTTAAAATTATACCTAATGTTTCAATTGTATAAGCTCTAGGTCCAAATAAAACAAATTCAAATTGTTTGCAATCGTTTCGACGACAATTGATGACCACAATATTCCGTGGGGAAGTTGGCAATTCTCACTTAAGGGGGAAAACTCGTGTAAATGCACGTTATTTCAGGAATATTTTTTAAAAAACTGGTAAAGTTTATTGAATTAAAGTAAAGCATACCTTAAAGTACACAATATAAGCTTTATAAAAAAAATTTTTTTTATTAAAAAATATTACAAAATGGCGGTGTTACAGACGTTTAAAGTTGCATCTTTGATTTTGCGCGGTGCAGCCTACAGGTCACAAATCTCAACTGAAATTAAAAATCAAAATTTTTACCGTTAAAATATACAAATACGCTTTGTATGATGGAGAGAAAACTAAAAAATTTTTTTTTGTAAATTTGGGACCATTTTGAAAAAAAATCAATTTTTTTTATAAACAATGTTCAAAAACAATTGTTAAAATTTTTTTAAAAAAAAAAAAGCTCGTCATGCAATAGCCAGTAAGATAAAGAAGATTTGTGGTAAGTTTGATTAAAATCCGTTAAAAATTGGCTGAGTTACATTGCGCGGCGCGCGAAAAAACATGTTTCGAGAAAAACGCGTATAAAGTTTTCGATACATAAAAGTTGTGTTTTAACTATTGCCTTAAAGACGTTATGTATTCGAAAATAACTATTGCACTAAAACAAAGATTTACTATCACTTGCTTATGGTGCTTGCTAATGACAATTAATAAAATTATATTGACAAGAAACCGAAAAATAGAGGGATCTCGTGCCCATAGTTAGCTGCATTTGGTAGCATCTGAAGTGCTAAACTTATGTTTACTATAGACATTCATACATTTAATTATAGATTAGTAATGTAGGATCATATTCTACAGATAGTAAACTGATTTTTAAAGCAAAAAAAAGTAAAATTTTTTTTTACACGAGTATCCCCCCTTAATTAAATTTAAAAATTGGAAAATTCGCTAAACCATCAAAACCCAATTGCTATTTTAAAAGCATTAATTGCTTTATTTCTACCCTACTGAAAATTCTCATGTAGGATCTTATATAGGATCTCACATAAATTCATATATTTAAATCCACATAAAATCCTATGTGTCATGTAAGAATCTATATAGGATCTTATGAAAAATCATATAGGAAATTGAGACATGATTTGAAGTAGGATTCGATGTAAATTCTTATAAACGTACTCTTAAGTAATCCTATATAAAATTCTATATAGGATCCTATATAGAAGGATGTAAGAATTCATTATATAGGAATTTATGTGGGATGTCATGTGTGGATTTCACTGTTTTATTTGTCCATCTAAGATACCAAGTCCGAAATTATATGAGAAATTATGTAGGAAATTATATAGGAAATTATATAGGAAATTATATGGGAAATTCCAATATACATGTAGATCATCATAGTTCCACTCTTACGCTACCGGATGGTGATACATTTTTTTCTCACAATTGAGATCAGTCTTGAATACTATAAAAGCTGAGACTCTAAGTTAGAAGGTGTATTGCAAAGCACAATTTTTTTTCTTTTCAGATGAATTGCAGTAATATTTGATTTTTAATTAAATAATTTTTAATTTTTATAAATTGCCGTCTGCCAACTGAAAATTCCTATATGAAATTCTATATTGTTTCCTTTATATAATTCTATGTGAAATCTTAGATATAGATATTTCAGAATCTACATGAAATCCTATGATTTCTTATGTTCAAATCAATCATATATATGATCCCACGTGAGGATTTTTAATATGATTTCATGTCAGATTTTTTGTAATAATTTTTTTATTCAAGAATCGAAAAAAGATTTGATGTATGATTTGATATAGGAAAATTTCTGGTTAAGGATTGAGCAGTGAATTTTAGTCTGTTTTTTAATGTGAAAACACGAAGGAAATTGACATAAGAAATTGAAGGAAAAAATGGGACCAGAAAAAATTGTAGGATTTCACATAGGAATTAACATAATTTATTACTTAAGAATACGTTTATAAGAATTTACATCGAATCCCACTTCAAATCATGTTTCAATTTCCTATATGATTTTTCATAAGATCCTATATAGTTTCTTACATGACACATACGATTTCATGTGGATTTAAATATATGAATTTATGTGAGATCCTATATAAGATCATACATGAGAATTTTCAGTAGGGTAACCTTTTTTATTTTTTTGGACATTATTTTTTGGAATTTAATGTATTTGAATTGGAATTTTAATTTTTAAGTTGAACTACATGGAAAAAAGGTTATTTTGCCAGCTGTAGAAACTTAGGAAAAAAGCATATAAATAATTTAGATAATTGTTTTTATTAATATTTGTTGAAAATAGTGTGCGAAGCCGAGGTCTTTGCTGGTCGGGCATCAACAAAATTTGCAAGAAATAAAAAACATGCAAAAAAAAAAGGAAAAAGGGGTGAAGTTCCGAAAGCGTCTCACCTCCGATCTTAATGAAACTTGGTATACTATAGTATTTTGGTGCCCTGATTACGAAAATGATAGTGAAAATTGGTGCAAATGTGATTATCATGGTAAAAACAATAAAAAAACACCATAAAATCGTGGTTTTTTCGATTATCTCGTAAAAACCCTAAAGTTTCGAAAAATGATTCAAATAAAAGTTGTAGGTCTCAAAAAAGCACACATTTTATGTTGTATGAATTTTTTAACAAAAGAGGTTATTTCTCGAGAAAAATCCAAAAAACCATAAAACATCATGTACATTAACGGAAAAAACAGTGCACATCATAATTACTGAAAAATTTGGTACTTGAAATTAAATAACCGCTTACATAGAATTGCGTAAACTGCTAGTGTGGATTTTTCTCAAAAAATAACCACTTTTGGTAAAAAATTCGTACAACGTAATATGTGTCTTTTTTTGAGACCTAAAACTTATATTTGGAACATTTTTCGAAATTTTGCGTTTTTTACGAGGTAATCGCAAAAAACCATGATTTTATGGTGTTTTTTATGGTTTTTACCATGATAATCACATTTGCGCCAATTTTCACTATCATTTTCGTAATCAGGGCACCAAAATACGTTAATATACCAAGTTTCATTAAGATCGGAGGTGAGACACTTTCGGAATTATATCCGGAAAAATTAATAATCAAATGTGAGAAATGTACGGAGGAATAGTAAGGAGACCGATCTCTGCGTTTGAAAATGTCAGAAAAACATGTACGATAAGTGCCAGGTTCAGTGCATTGTACTCAACTACCAAAGTAGCTGAGCATGCGCATTGGACCTCAATTTTGACAGATGAAAAGTGTGGTTATGCGATATACATATATGTCACAAAAAAAATCTTAGTGTTCAGTGTTTATTTCAGAAATTTTATTTACCATTGCGATATTGTATCTCCAAAATCTTGTTTAAGTATATAAAATAAACATTAATAATAATTATTAAAATAATAACCATGAAGTAGTATAAGGAGCACTCACTGCTTGTTAAGCATATAGGCCCCTTGCATGAGAATAAATCCGAAATTACATATCTCCGATTATGACGCCTCTAGCGGAAAAGCGGTGTACTTAGAAGTTTTCAAAATATGGTTGCGCCTAGTGACAGCTATTCTCATATAGTAAACAGTGTAAAGTGATATATAATAATTTTAGAAAAAGTGTACAAATTTTTAATCTCAATAAAACTATTTGACTTGACTTGTAAAGAAAGAAAAAAGTTACACACAAAAATTTTAAATAAAACAAATTTTTTGAAAAAAATTTTTTTTTCAAAATATATTTGAAAATTGGTAAGTTTTTGCTTATTTATATACTAATATATAATTTAGATTTTTAAAATATTTGTTTTCAATTATATGTTTCATAATGAAATAATAAAGGAATTGCAATAATTTGTTGTAAGTTATATAAAAATAAAAAAAATAATAAAAATATAAATAATTATTTTTCATTGTAGCCGTATATATTTCAAACGAAATTTCTCAATTTTTTTTTATTTTTAGGTTATATTTACATGTAATCAAACAAAATTTAATGACAAGTTCAGCAAGTATTTTGTTAACATTCAAATATATACAAAATAATTTGTATCAAGTAAAGTTGCCTGTGTTAATGCTGATTCATTGATCAATTTAGCAGTTTCATTTTTCACTTTTTTTATTTATAATTACACAAAAGTAACTCGCATCAAACACATTTCAAAAAAAAAAAAAAAAAAAAACGCCAACTGACTGTTATACACAAACACTTATACAACAATGTACCACGTGACCTGTAATTCTTCGCTTTTCCGCTAGGGTTGTTAGTATCGGGGATATGTAAATGCTTCTATTAAATCTGGAAAGGCTGGGGAAGAATTTTCAAAAACTGCCTATAGAGTGAGTGCTCCTTATATTACTTCATGATAATAACATAACAATAACACATAACCCCTTCATCACAACACGCATGGAAGACTTGAGAAATATACGTCAGCCAGATCTCACTCGCACACTTTTTGCGAGAAAAAGAGACAGCACATGGCTAATGCGCATGCTCAGCTACTTTGGTGGTTGAGTAGAATGCAGTGAAACTGGCATTTATCGTGCATGTTTTTCTGACATTTTCAGAAGCGCTACTACAGCAAGATCGGTCTCCTTACTATTCCTCCGTGGAGAAATGTAATCTTTCTGCCAAAGGATCTAACCACCTGTATATATTTATGCTATTAACCCCCAAGAAGTCTCTTTTTACATGGAGATTTTGTCGTTGTATTTGTTAAGTTTATTTGAAGGGTAGAATGACAAAAGGGGTCAAGCGCCAATTCACTGTTTTTACAGGAAGTAAAAAAAACATTTTTAAAAATTTTGCAGGTCATTTAAAAAAAAACTGAGAAAACCGTTTCGATATATTAG